AATAAATATAGGTTATCATTTTACAACTTGATTAAGCAGGTATCTGGTTACATGTCTACATTTGGAAAACAAGTCAGAGCGTTTGTTCAGGCATTCAGTTTTCTTCGCTTTCATAATAAGTAGTTATTATGAAAGCGAAGAAAACTGAATGCCTGAACAAACGCTCTGACTTGTTTTCCAAATGTAGACATGTAACCAGATACCTGCTTAATCAAGTTGTAAAATGATAACCTATATTTATTATGAATATTGAATAATATCTGTCAGTTGCCTGATGATCGCGTAAAGCGTGAACCTCAGAGTAGCGACGCAAACATTCAAACCTTGACTGAATTAATTCCTCTCTACTTATTATGGTATTGAGCGCTCTTCTACCTTACGTCAACTCATCGACTATTTTTTTGAATATAGTCTTCAGTATATATATATATATATATATATATATATATATATATATATATATATATATATATATATATATATATATATATATATATATATATATATATATATATATATAAATAACTACAGACGGTACCGTTTCGGCCTTTTGGGCCTCATCAGTGTAGTGCTGGTGAGCAGGATGAAAGTAACCACTATAAATAGTTACCTTTGATGTCTCACGATTGTGGGACATCAAACCATTGCCAGAGTGCTCAAACTGCAATGAGCATGCGCACAATGCGTAAGCAGCAATGGCTCATCCTGTAGAGTGCTCAATATATACATATATATATACATATATATATATATATATATATATATATATATATATATATATATATATATATATATATATATATATATAGTTGTCGTCGTCGTCGCTACGACGACTTCATCATTTTGCATGACTTTTTGTCTTCGCCGTTACCTGCAATTGGCTCAAAATTCTGCGAATATTTCAACGTATTTTTACATGGTATGTCACGAAGATAATTTAGTAACAACTTCAAGGTTTTTATAAGTTTGATACTTCTATATTTACTATTTATCCGCCTCCCTGACTCTTAGTAATTTGCAATTAAAATAGTGTACTCTGCTTCATTTGTATTCTATATTTGTATCAACTTGTCGAGGTCAAATTTGAATATTTTCTTCTTGTGCAAGACCAAATACGTGATCATGAATGGCTATATTTTGTATTGCATAGTTATTAAGACCTGTGTACTGATTTAGTCAGTTACACTGATGTGTATTATTGATCAAAATGTGAAAGTTCACTCAATATACATGCGATATATTTATGGCACATTGCATAAATTTTTTTTTAAACTAACCCCCTTATTGAAGACATTTTATTATGCAGGTCATCTTAGTGTGTGTAAAGCAAAGGGAAAAACTTGTTTTACATGTGGAAAACGAAATAATTTCGCGACTATGTGCCGTAGTTGTCAAAGGAACAATATTCCAGAAAAAGGGGAGAACATTCAAGCCATTGATTGTACTGAAAAGCAATCAAATTCCTCTGATGAAGATTCATATGTTTTTGTTGTTACCCCACCAGTAGAAAATGAGGTTTCCCCAAATTCACGAGCAGTTAAAACCATTCAGTTATTATTGAAAGGGTTCATGTTAAAATTATTGTTGACACTGGGGCAACAACAAACATTTTAGATTCCAAAGCATTTAATGAAATCAAAAAGAAAAACCCCAGTTTACATTTGTAACCATCAACACACAAAATTTATGCTTACATGCAATCTCAATCTTTGCCAATCCTTGGGAAATTTGAAGGATTTATTGAGTCAAAATATATAATGGCTGTTACAACATTCCATGTTGTAAACGGGGACGGTGGTTCATTACTAAGTTATTCCACAGTCACAGAGCTTGATATTGTGAAAATGAATGTGCATGCTGTTGTTGCCCAGTCTAGTTCTACATCCTACACCGATCCTCAAGAAGATCATAAACAGTTTGGCAATGAGAACCCAGATATTCCTAAAAACCATCAACCAGACTCACCAATCATGTCAAAGTTTAAAAAGGAATACCCAGCAGTCTTTAATGGCATTGGGAAACTAAAGGGTCATGAATTCCCCCAAACCTTAAAGATAATGCTAAACCTATTGTGCAAAAACCCCGAAAGATACCTTTTCATCTCCGTAAACAGACAGAAAATAAACTGAAAGAACTAGAGGAAAGTGATATTATTGAATTTGTTCCATCAGGGACACCTACACCTTTTGTATCAAATCTTGTTGTTGCACGAAAGCCTAATAATTCAGCTGAAGTCAGAGTATGTATAGACATGCGACATACATATTGAGGAACTCTTTGAGGACATGGCTGGTGCTACAATGTTTTCAAAAGTGGATTTGACAGCTGGGTTTCATTAGTTACTTCTTGACGAGGAGTCTCGATCTCTTACCACATTTCACACCCACAAAGGTCTCATGCGATATAAACGTTTATGTTTCGGAGTAAATCCAGCACCAGAGCAATTCGAATATGTTATTCAACAAACACTCCAAGGACTGGAGGGAGTAAGGAGCATTGCCGATGATATTATTGTGAGGGAAAGTCCCAGAAACAACATGATACACACCTTGAAGCTCTCGTGAAACGACTCTCAGAAAACAATCTTACCCTTAATGTTTCTAAGTGTAAGTTTAATGTAGACAGCATTTGGTTCCATGGTTACACATGATCAAAGGGTGGCATTCCTGCAGCCAAAACCAAAATTGCAGCACTAGTTAACATGAAAGAGCCATGTTTCCCAGTTGTGCAGCTTCTTGGGATTGGCAACATATTGTGAACGGTTTATTAATAACCTGGCAACAATCACAGCACCATTACGCGAGTTAACCAACAAATGCGTTGTTTGGAAACGGACAGGTAGGCACCAACAGGCATTCAATTGACAAAGTCAAAGAAGAAATTGCGAAAGATTGTACCACTGTTTTTATGACCCATCTAAACGAACTCGAGTAACGGTTGACACAAGCCCAGTCGGATTAGGGGCCATTTTATCACAGTTTGATAGGAACGACAACGAGCGAATTGTTGCGTATGCAAGCCGTAGTCTCAGCAAGGTTGAACAGCGATATTCACAAACTGAAAAAGAGGCGCTTCGAGTTGAATTTGGTTGCGAGAAATTTCACATGTATCTTATTGGAATTGAATTTGCGTTGGAGACGGATCATAAACCGCTAGAAGTTATATACCATCCCAAAGCGAAGCCATCTGAGCGGATCGAACGATGGGCTCTCCGGTTACAACAGTACCAATTCAAACTACGACATCGACCCAGTAAAACCAATTCAGCTGATGTACTATCCCGTAAACGCTTGTCAACACTCGAATAGAACAGCATTGCGGAAGATTATGTAAATTTTTAACCGACCATCTAGTGCCTAAATCTATGAACAGGCAGGAAATTGAGGAAGCGTGTCAGAAGGATGCTGAAATGCAAGCTCTTATAACGGCTATTAGAAAAAACCGCTGGCCAAAAAAAGCAGCTGGTAACACTAACAACAATTTATTTAAAATTATTTTTTACACGGTAGCTTATCAACCTATTTATACCAAAAATATATAGAGTTTTCTGATAGTGATAAAGTTTCAAATAATTAAGAATGCCGTGTAGAAATTTAAGCTAAGCAGTAGAACAACAATTTACTAAATTATAGTAAATATCATGCATAAACAGGACATTATTACATTTATAATATTCTATAAAACATACACTCCAGTAACAGTTTATTGAAAAAGATATTTTATAGCAGTCACTGGAAACTTGAAAAATTGTTCAAAAATGAATTATTTTCGCGAATGAAATCTTGTAAGTTATTTTTGAAAACTCTCTCGGAGATCGTGAGATTTTTCAATTCGGTTGGCAAATTATTCCAAGCTTTTGCACCATGGTAGCTAAAATTTCGCTTCAGTGCATTTGTTCTTGGTTTTGCCAGTTTCAGCATAGTAAAATTACTGCGTAGATTATATTGATCGTTTACTGAAATGTGAAACTGGTCTGATATTGATGTAGGAACTTCATTTTTTAGAATTTTGCGCATAAACAAGAGCGTCTTAACAAATCTTATCTGGTTTAGTGGTTGCCAATTCTGTTTGCTAAGAACATCTTTTGAACGAATCTCCCAATTATCTCCAGTTATAACTCTTGCTGCCCTATTTTGAAGCTTTTGTTGCTGCCCTATTTTGAAGCAATTTTGCCATACTAGAGAGCAATAGTCAAAATATGGTTGCACAAGAGCATTATAAATCTGATTTAAGCAATCCTTTGGAACATAAGGCTTGACCAGTTTTATCGCCCCTATTCCGCTTGAAACTTTTTTGCTGATGCTGTCAATGTGGTCCTCCCATTTCAACTTATCGTCAATGACCACGCCAATACTTTTTGTTCTTTCAACTCTATTAATAGATTCGCCGCCAATTTTAATTGTCGGATCTACATTAAACTTACTTAGATTATTTCGAGAGCCAATAATCATATATTCTGTTTTAGAAACGTTAAGTGTTAATTTGTTTGCCACTAACCATTGATAGATATTACTAAGATCGGTGTTCAATTTTCCCTCCAATTCATCTACGGATTCCGCAGATGCGGAAATATTAGTATCATCAGCAAACATCGAAGGTTTTGCCTGATCAAGACAATTTGACAGGTCATTGACATATAATAAGAATAGGAGCGGTCCTAAATTTGACCCCTGGGGAACTCCACATTTAATTAATTTTCTGGATGATTTAACGTTATTTATTTTACATGTTTGATATCTTTTTTTTAAGTATGATATAAACCAATTCAAGGCACCCCTTGTAATTTCATACAGTTTTAGCTTTTCAATTAGGATTATATAAGATCAACAGTGTCAAATGCTTTCCGTAGATCTAGGAACAAGACTCCATTTATAAGACCTTTATCAATATTTAGGAGCCAATTCCTTGTAGCATTTAACAACGACGTTACAGTTGAATGAGATTTTCGAAATCCAAATTGGTTGCCTTACAGAATGTAGTTCTCATTTATATACGAAATTAACTGATTGTAGACACTTTTTCTAAAATTTTCGCAATAGTCGCCAAATCGAAATAGGCCTATAATTGCTACAGTCAGATTTGTCACCGTTTTTGTAAATGAGGGAGACAAAAGCGGTTTTCAGTTCCTCTGGGAAGACACCTTGTTGCAAGGATCTGTTGAAAATTTTTGTCAATGTAGGACAGATTACTTCAGCAGAATCCTTAACCAGTTTAGCATTTATTTTATCTGGAC